ACAATTAAAATTAGAACTTCTGTTACCGCTACTAATTAATTATAAAATCGATTCTTTTCTTTGCAAGTGATTATTTCATTAACACTTTTTTGGCGGGGGGCGAATAACAATGTTATTTCAGATATATTTATACTATTTCAACCAGGAGATGGACTCATAACTTTCCTATAGGCACTTGAGCGTAAGTGTATATAATTTCTTGGTTAGGTAAACCCCTAGTTTGAATTTTGGTAAAAATATGAGCATTTGAGGTTTAATAATGTTTTGTATAAATATAGCAAGAATTCTTCCCGGGAAATTGTGGATATTTCAGATCATAAATGTTTGTCAGACTGACCCCCATCCAATTACCCACCACCGACAATTGGGTAGGTTGTCGAAAATCTACTATTAACCCTAGAACACTAAACACCAATTAAAGTTACACCACTCCTAATCATATATATCATACCCGATTTTGAAAATATCAAAAAAGATTAAATATAAATCTTTATTGGAAATATTTTATATGCAGGCGCTTCAAACTTTGTACTTTGAGTTAACATTAATAGAAACTGAAAAGCATATTATATAGGTAAGAAAAAAGGTACTGAATATTGTAATTAAAAATAGGAAAATTTGTGCCGGGTGCTATATGCCCATGGTTAGTGTTCTAGGGTTAATAAAATTTAAAGAATTCGACTTGGTTTATTTCGGGTTCAAATCTTCCTAGAGATTTTTATGGCTTCTCATAATTATTTTTAATCTGTGAATTGTTTCATTATTCTCTTCGAAAATTAATTAGTTTTACCCGGTTTCATCATAATTATTTTCTGCTTCAGATTGTCATCATCATGACATTTAACCAGAATTACAACTCCGATAGATTTGATTAATTATTAATGAAATTTTTGTGATAATTATGTTGATGATTAGTTCGCTATAATTATTTTTGGTACAGCGATTGTTAACTTGTTCCGACGTAAAGAATCAGTCACTTTTTAAACAACGTTGGTAATTCAAAAAAGATGATTAAAATTAAGTATTTAAGAAACTTTTTAACTCAAATAAATCGACCTTTAATTTTTGTCAAGAATTGTTTAAATTCCTGTGTATTCGGCTCTTATTGTAAGATTACTTCCACTGACTTGTCAAAAAATTTCCTTGAATGTATATTCAATATTTACATGGCGGAAAGATTTTCGTCTCTAGTAGTTCAATATTGGTTTCTTTTTGAGTCGTAAAGCTGCCAAAGATTCCCCCTTTAATATTGAGATCTTACAGCCTTAGAAATAACGTTCGCAGTTCACGACCGTCCTGGGTATGAAAATAAACTACATCCGCGTCCTGGGTAAGACGATAAACTACATCCAACAGAAAGGTTTCTGATCAGGAGGTTTTGAGGAACGTGGAACCACCTCTTAATTGCTAGTGTTCCCATGTTCACTCTGTCCCGAGTTCGTAGCACCTGTTAGGGTCCCAGCTATGGGCAAATAGTTAAACCCTACCTCAAACTGGGGACAAAACACTATGAAAGTGTAAAAATATGTTTTTGATATGATGGAATAACCTGCCCCCCGATGAGTGGCGGTACTATAGGTGGTAACCACCTATAGGTATCCGTGAGGACAGCGGACAGGAGAGTCGAGCGGGGATCTGCGAGAACGAGCTGTCTTCCGATAGCAGCACACACACAGCTGTACCGACTTGCGACGACCATGCGCATAATTATTACTTCCTTGCTTGTTGTACTGGTTTCTACAATAAACATGTTACTATTTATTCGCCGTGTTTGTCCAGTCCATATTCATATTAGCACGGAGTATAACAGTTTTAATACCAACAATACATTTTTGAAAAAAATTATAACAAGGAATATATTATTACCAGCAATATATTTTTGAAGAAAAAATATTACCAGCAATAGATCTTTGAAAAAATAATTAGTAGCAATATATTTTTGAAAAAAAATATTACCAGCAATAAAAAAAATATCTGCATTAAATAAAACATTGAGGTTGATATGCCGTAAAACAAAACAAAACAAAAACACAGTCCACGAATTGAATGCGAAAATCTTAGGAAGCAAACTCTTTCAAAATCTTTGCCACTGAAAATTGTGACTTTTGGGGATAAAAGAATACGAACTGATATTTTGGATTCCTTCTTCAGGTTTAGCAGTAAATTCTTTGAAGCCTTAATCAACGCCAAAGTGTTTATGCACCTTACATCCCATGATTTGCTCTCCAACAAGCAATATGGTTTCCGCTTTGCCCGTTCTACAGCTGATGTGCTTACGGCCATATCTGAAATTGTTTGCCAAGCACTTCATAATAACGGAGAAACTCGTGCCGGGGTTCTTGATATCTCCAAAGCGTTTGATAGGGTTTGGCATGCCGGACTTCGCAAGCTTCAAGGTTATGGAATTACAGGTCGATTGTTCGACTTAATACAATCATTCCTGTCGAACCGTACATTGAAGGTCGTTCTCAACGGATTCTCTTCCAGCTCCTATTCAACAAACGCTGGTTTTCCCCAAGGCTCCATCCTAGGCCGTACTCTGTTCCTTATCTTCATTAACGATCTTCCTGACTTCATAGGTTTCCAAGTAGGCATCTATGCGGACGACACTACTATTTACTCCTGCCTCAATAACAAATCTAGTGTCGCCGACAAAATTAAACTGGCCGTTTGTGTTGAAAGGAACCTCCAATCAGTTGTGGATGGGGCAGGTATTGGCTGGTTAACTTTAATGCCTCAAAAACAAAAATGCTCTCTATTACTCACCAGAGAAAATAATCTCTGCCTCCCATTAGAATGTCTGACGCTCAACTCCACGAGAGCACCTCTTTGCGACTGCTAGGTCTCATGTTGTCCGCTGACCTGAGATACGTTGAGTCAATAGCTTCGTCCACCGCTAGGAAAGTTGGCTCCCTATGCCGCGCCAGGAAATTTTTCTCGCCGGAGTCGATCCTCAAATCTGCAAATCAACCATTCGCCCTTGCATGGAGTATTGCTGCCATATATGGTCTGGAGACCCTTCTAATTGTCTCAAGGTCCTTGATAAAATCCAAAGACGGATATGCAATGTAATTAGCCCTGATCTGGCATCTCGTCTGCAGCCGGTCTCTCACAGACGTGCCGTTGCCTCCCTCTGTCTTTTTTACAAATACTTTCACGGTAAGTGCTCCGATGAGCTGCTTTCGCTGGTTCCCAGAGTTCATGAATTTAAGCGCTCAACTAGACTGGCATCTCGCTCTCACTCTTTCACTGTCGAAACTTAAATGTAGCCGTCTCTTCTACTCCAATAGCTTCATGTCTCGCACTTCTCACCAGTGGAACTTCCACCCCATTTCTTATTTTCCTGATAACTATAATCTCCAACTATTCAAATGTAATGTCAATCTACATCTCCAAATGCCCTGATCTATCCGCTAACCTTCTCTTCATCCTTTCCTCTATCACTCCTCTTTGTTCTCGCTCCAACTCTGTGTAACCCCTTGCGTGCTAGTGGCTTCCCGCCTTGCTTAGGGTGAAATGCTTAAAAAATACAGTAAATACCTTCCAAAGCTTAAAAATTGACAGCTGGTCTATTTCTTTCAAATTTTGAGATCGATATATAAACGAGGTGTGTCTTTTCTTATTCAACGTTGTTTTTATGCAGATATCGTAGTATCACCGAAGTTAGAGCAAGATCGACCCTGGCCAACACTTAAATAGGTGACCGCTTGGGAATACCAGGTACTGTAAGCTTGGATGTGCGGGTGGTCAGTGGATAACGACTCGAAATTTGAAATCTGAGAGACGAGTTCCAATTCCAGTTGGGTTCGTTATATTCACTTACATGCAGATACCTTTGAGAAAGGTACGAATACACCTCTTCTCCCCAAGGTATGTGTTAATTAGTAAGTCTTGTATCAATAAATGTGTATTATCTCCAAAATAATTTCTTACAATCTAAAATCATTTTTTGGCTTTCACTAACCTGCAAAAGGTTGATAAGCCATAAACAAAAAACAAATTATTTAATAACTCCAACAATTTTAAAATGTCATCCATTTGAGAAAGAAAATCATCTTCTTTCTTCTAGCTAAAAGCATCTTTGGTTGATACAATATTATTCCATACATTCGGCAGCAAGTCTTCTGATAGGGAGTTTGGAGTTTTTGAGGAGCGTAGAACCACCTCTTAATTGCTGCTGTTCCCAGGTCCACCCTGACCCAGGGTGGTAGCACCTGTTAGGGTCCCAGCTATGGACAATTAGGGAACCACCACCAAAAGATCATTATGAAAGCATAAAAATACATATTTATAGTAAAATCACCAACAAAACATTTTATCTGTAGTTAAAGGCGTACAATTGTGTTCCAAATATTTAGATTTCAGCATTAAATAACCCACAGAGGTTGATATGCCTCTTAACAAATTCAACCAATCAACCAACATGATAGAACACTATCGCGGTATTAATTCATATAATATCCTACAATTTCTTAAAGAAATCAAACTGTATTCAAAACTATAACGTCAACAAAGCACAAATATCACTACCTGTAGTAATTATGTCCACACAAACAAATATATGCACAAAAGCTGAGTATCATCTACCATGTATTCAGTTGTGAAAGCAGAATAACATATTTTTATTAATTCAAAGCTCCCCCTAAAAATTAAATTACAACATTAAATGACCCATGAGGAGTTGATATGCCATTAAATAAATCAGTCCATCCTCCAGCTACTTAGCACTGATTCTGTCTGGAATTAAATTTCAAAACCTTCATGTCAAGTTCACCAAAGCAGAGTTTGAAAGGAATAATAGTTATTTCCTTTGCTTTCTAGACAAAAGGTTTTGTTATCAACATAGAAAAGAAATTCTGCTGAGGTTGCATACTGAGTGATCTAAGTTTTTTTTTTGAGGGGGGATATTTCTATAAAAATAAGATATTTTTTTTTTATTTTTGAACATTATCAATCAACATATTTGCAATTATATCTGCTAATTTTCCAGTCAACTTTGCATGTTTTTCTTTCTTTCTCATCTTTCTGCCTTTTACAGTCTTGCAGGGAATGGGCGTATTTTTTATAACGAGAATTTGTAAAGATTGGATTAAATGATACACGGAAGAGATGATATCGTTATTCACATTATTTATGCCCCCATCTTTTGTTGTTACAATATTTTAGCCACTGTGTTCTTCATCATCTGCTTCGCAATGCAGATAACCTTTAGGGAAATTCAAACACATTATTTAATTGATTGGGGATAGATTGTTCTTGTTCCGTTCATCATGTTATTTTTTTAGTACTGCTCAGTTATTGCTTGCCCTGTCTCCACTATCTGTTCAGCATTAAATAGCCTATAGAGTTTGGTATGCTGTTAAAAAAAACAATCAATCAAACAACCAACATGAAAGAACTCTTTTATTTCATTAATCCATATAATATCCGACAATTTCTTAAAGAAATCAAACTGTATTCTAAAATAAAACTTCACAAAAAATACTACATAAAACACCCACATCACCGCCTCTAGTAGTTATGTCCACACAAAAATTTACATACACGAATGCTGAGTATCATTTGCCATGTACTCAATTGTGAAAGCAGAATAACATATATTTTTATTACTTCCAAGCTCCCAAGAAAAGTAATGTTGGCATTAAATGGCCCATAAGTAGTTGATATGCTATCAAACAAACAAATAATATTACTCTTCTAAGTGTTTTTTTCTGTCTATATCTCGAAGATGAGGTATTATTATTATTTGCATTATTCGGACTGTAATCCTCATCTTCATTGCCATATTCACAACGTTTCGGCCGTTGTACGCTCCGGTCTTCTTCAGATGATTGGAATTTCGAACCGAACCCTTTATTTACTGGTGTCGATTATTTTAGTTCCACGTGTCATGCCTCTTCTGAATGTCTCAGTTATTTCCCTTTAACTCAATTCTCCAAGTTTTTTCGTCCACCACTGCTGTAGTCTGATATTGAACTCACTACACTTTGGTTCTAGTCACCAACTACGAATCTGAACTCATTAAGATATTTGATCTATTTCAAGATGGAAGAAATAAACGATGTCTTACAGAAAAAGGCTTCACGATACATGAATTATAAATTATCTTGAGTTACAAATAATTTCCGTTCAACTTTATTCTTCAAAATTATTCTTCAAGTTATATATTCACCATTATTTGCAATCACTTGGTGCCATTATGAACTCTTCGACAGATTGGCATAAAATTGCGCAAGTGGACTAATTCTCGACAAACACTTGGCTTCCATGACAATGATGTTTCCCCATCTTTAAAGCATTTTAAAGCAATCGAAAAGGTAATAATAAAAGGTCAAGTGAGTAGGGCGGCTGGGGTAGAAGAATTCTAAATATTTCTCCTGTGTTATTCTTCATTTGTCTTTTAATGCACTGTCTATGCTGCCATTGCAAAAAACTATGGTACACCAATTTACTCCAGATATATCCTTAGCTGCCGTGTATGGTCAGTAATTAGCATGATACTTTGGTCATTACAACTGGTTCCTAAAAACGGAAATTAATTTGACTTAATCAAATCTATCTATCTATCTATCTATCTATCTATCTATCTATCTATCTATCTGTTGTGACCAAGTAAATGGTTAAGTAATAACAAAAACCAGCTTTGCAAATATATCGTATATTAAACAGGAAGTACACCAGAAGAGTATTACACGACTAGTGAGAGTGTAACGAAAGAACTAGCGCTCAATTTATTCACAGTTCACTGTTGATATTTAAGGTTGTATGTAGGGTGTATGTGGCACAAGGCCAGTTTATTGTCCGGCCGAAAATATTCCCTTTGAACCCGTATAAACGGGTTCAGGGACTGTCTACATCCCCGGACGAAACTTTGCCCTTCGGCAAAGCATCGTCTGGGTTCATCTCTGCCGAGGCAGAGAGTTCGTCAGCAATGAACAGTCTGGTCGACCGTTCCCCCGAACCTTCTATCCTACTAAACTTATAGTAGATGGAAGAGTCTAACATAGACTCTTTAGAGGAAGGACACCACAACACTATCTATCTATCTATCTATCTATATATATCTATCTATCTATCTATCTATGTGATTAAGAATTATAGGGATATTAGTGGAATAAAGCGTAGTTTCTTGAATTGAGTGATATGGGAGTTGTGAGTTCAATCTCTGGGCCGAGTAGTGTGTACTTGCACTCAGCGGAAACAGGACAAGCAATAACTGAATAAGACTAAAAATAAGAACGATATATCAATCGACATAAGCGTAGAATAAATAAAAACGTGCAAAAACGAAGGCATGTTTATGTACGTCAGATTTATTCTTAAATGCTACTCAGGTTGAGGAGTTAGGATTATATTTGTACTTTTGGTTCCATCAAAAGATAAATTACTTATGATTCAACCTTATACAGTCACCTATAACACAAGCTTATGCAATTTATTCCCAACGATAAATTTGCAAGTAAACATCAGATAGTGAAAAAATCTGAATACACTTGATTATGGAAAAATATTCTAACCAAATTCCCACTATAATTTTCTCAACGACGGACAGCAATTCTCACAATTGGACCTCACTCTTACATACACACAAATTTTGATCTCAAAAAAGATAGGAATTGAAATATTATAGCAAAAATTTATACTATTACAAAATTAAAAAAGAAAAACAACCCGTCACACCCGGATCCTCGCGACCGACTCAAAGCAGAAGAAAATAATAAAACCTATCATTACAACAAACAATATCACTTCCTAAGACAGACATAAAAAAAAAAAAAAAACTGATCCATGCGAATTCTGTTCTCATAAATCGTTAGCCAATCATTAGAAAGAGAGGATAAAAATAATTTTCACGTCATTTTACAGGGACTTTGAGTGGATCTGGTGGCTTATATGGGATGAATTTTTAAAAAATACAATTTCGCTGACATATAGAAATAAAAAAATGAGAAAAACTATTACAAAAAATAAATGTATCAATGTTAAAAATTCGGAAGTATTCACCATGAAGGATTTTTAAAAAGTCTTTGTAGACTACAATCCTGTCCATGTACATAAGTTTGGTGACTTCGTCAGATCAAGACTCTCATGCGGATGTCATGCATGACATCCAACTCTTTCAGAAATGTCTAAAATATCACCTATATTCAGCCATTTTTTCATATCAATAATTAAAAATGGCCTCAAACGAATAAACCTTATCTTTTTATTGATAATTTTTTCTCCCTGATTTTTATTGTTCATTTTAAGTTCTTTTGTATTAAATGTTTAACTTTATTTAATTTTCTGCTTCCCGATCTTAATTGTCTGCGCTATTTTATCTTTCAATTGATATATTTAATTATTGGAATATTTTCCTTATGGTCAATATTTCGGTTCGTCTATTAGTCGGGTAATCCTGACCAAGATTATCTTTAGTCAGATCTCTGACTGATGCTACGAAATTACAAGAGTTTTACTAAATAACAAAGACCCTGGAGACTTACAACAGCAGTAACCACTAAACTGGGTAGTACATTTAACTAGAGTGTAGGAAGTAAATTCCCATTTTTACTAGAAAGAATGATAAAAGTTAGTATATTTTCCTGAAAAAAACTATTTTAAAAGAGAGATTTTATAAATTTCAACCAACAATTACACTGTTGCTCGGTCACTGAATGCCGAATGCTTCCGTATAAGGAAATGGTTAATTTCACCACTACGGTCGCCATTTTTAACAAATTTCGTATAGTCTCGTCATCTCACACGTTATTTAAAAAAATATATTTTATCATTATTATTAATAATGGAGTCCATAATTATATTGCCAACGAAAACGTAAAACTTACTGCAAATAAAATTCATTACAAGAATTATTCATAAAATAATTATAATTTAAATATTAATAAAATAAACTAATTTTACATATTTTCCATTTTTTGCTATGTGGTGGCTTATTTTGAACAGCGCCAATACCGAAATTTAAATACCAGGATGTCAAATGCAGATTTTAAAGGCAGACCCTTCTAAACTTGGAAGAGTGACGAAATAGAATCTTTCAAATAATCATTTTCCTGTAAATGGACTTTTGTTAGACAAGGCTAATTTTAGAAAATATCGATATATACACCATAGACCAGAAGTTTGCGAGGTCACCGTTTGGATTTAATGATGAGTAAGTTGTATGCCTTCTTTTCTTAGTAAGCTTGGATGCTGAAACTTTTTAACTCGTTGGTGCAAAGCATCCAATTTTCTTTAGAGAGTAGGTTACTTAAAATTTAATATTCACCCGATCGAAGATTAACATTAACCAGCAAAGAACATTAGGCAAAAAAAGCAGTCTTGGGCTAATTTCATTATTATTATTATTATTATTATCATTATTATTATTATTATTATTATTATTATTATTATTATTATTTGTGTGCGTCAAATTTCCTGCTTTATATCCAGGTCCAAACCATGGTCCTTAGGCCCTATAGGAAAATTGTTATTTAATTGATAGCACTTATCTTAGTATATAGGATGTTCTTAGGGCGATTTTCTGGGCAACTTGTATAATGATGTCAGCTGGGACACATTTAATAAAATTGTCCATTCCTTTTCGCAAGGGGCCCAGAGTACCGATTATTATTGATAGCGTCTCAATCTTCATTCCATACATCCTGTTAATCTCGATCTCCAGATCCTTATTTGGACAAATTCTCGATAATTTTAATGAAGGTGTTTCTCTCAGATGGTACTACTATGTCAAAAAGTATATTTCTGAATTTCTCGTCTTTTATGATAATATCAGGTCTGTTGGATTTTATTTCCCTGTCTGTTTGAATTGGTATGCCCCAAAGGATAGTTACATCGTTATTTTGGGTAAATGTGTCTGCTTGGTGGTCATACCATCTCTCAGTGGTTTCGGTTTTCTGCTTCTTGTATATCTTCCAGTGCACATATGTCGCTACCTTGTTATGTCTGTGGGTATATTCATTTTTTGTCAGTTCTGGATATCCTGAGATAATATGGTCGGTAGTTTTTTCCTATTTTCCTAAGATCCTGCATTTTGGGTTAGTTTCATCCTTGATTATGTGACAGTGATAGGATCTGGTTGCGAGGCTTTTGGCCCTGAGCTGCAATAATTAGGGCGTCTGTCTCAGCTTTCAGCCTGGTGTTCCTCAGCCACTGATATGTTTTCTGTTGCTTCCACATTTGGTTCTTTCGTTCTTTTTATTGTGTATTTGCCATGCAACACCTTGTCCTCCCAGTTTTTTTTTTTTTTTTTTGTAATTCCATTTGACCAAGTTGTTTTGCTTTCTGTTTTATTCGTTTGGTGTAGATGGTATTCGATTTTTATTGATAGGATTTCATGTATATTAAGCTGTTTCTTGAAGAGTGCAGTTTCTTTGTTGATGGAGTGAATTTTGAAGTTTGCCCACATCTTACACCAGAACTCCTCGACTTCCTGGATATTAAGTGGGTCATTTATCTCTATTTTATTTTTTCCAAGTTGTAATAGAAGTGACAGTGACTTACCAGGAGCAAAGCGAATTCGCTGCCTCGCGTGTCGAACCATTCTCTGAGAGTCGGTCGCACGTGCGCCTACTGCCATTTTTATGCAGCAGACTTATTTGCATAAGAGAACCACGCTACCGATTAAAAACCCGGCGAGTGGACGTGGGAGGTGACTGCTCTTCTAGGCTTCGGCGACTGCAGACAGAAAGCGACAGCAATTTCTGGACATACGACACAAGTTTTCGATATAGTTTCTTGGCATCTTATTTGAAAATCTTTTACTAGAAGAATCTGTTTTTTTTTGGGGGGGGGTCCGGATTCTTTGTGCCTTCTTTTGAATTTGTTGTTTCAGCTTCTCTTCAACTTTTCCTTCGTCAGTCTTATTTTTTCTGTTAATGCTTCGTTTCAGATGTGACTCTTTTTTCCTTCTTTCATTTTGGAGTCCTCAGAAATGATACTTATCCTCGTAGTTTATTTATTTCGGTTGTGTTTTCTTTCCAGACTAGCATTTTCCTTTTACGTTGTGTTTTTAAAGCACATAGTTCCCGAGATCGTTTCCAAGGATGCGTATGAAAGATAATTTCTGTCAGGTTTATCGGTTTTTCAATTTCGTCTTATTTTTTCTAATTGCTTGCTTAGCACGGTTGATGGTTTCCTTCATTCCATGGTCTTTTCTTACTTTTAGAATTGTTGGCCTTTCCTCGAAAGACATTTCCGTTACATTCTCTCATTTATATTGGATGTTTTCGTCATATCTTTTTCTCTCTCATGTTCATCATTATATTCCCCTATTTGTATGTGTACCTCAAAGGGATTATTACAACTGGTTTCTATTTGTTTCTCTGCATGTGTCTCTTCTAGGTTGTTGGCATTTAGCCCGTCGATGCTAACGTTCAGTCTATTTTTGATGTTTTCTCGGGTGATTTCGAGTTCTATGCCAGGAATACTTTTATTCTTGATGATGTCAAGCCTGACATTGGCTTGTTTGTTGGTATCAATGTTTAGTGTATTTCAGGAGTGTTTTTTTTTCTCGCCAGATATTATAGGCGACTTTAGTCGGATTTATCTTAGCAGTGTATAATGCTATCATTACTTCAATATACGCTTCCCTAAACCATTTATTTATTGTTCTTTTTGTAGGATTTTCTTTTAATGATTATAGAGAGCCTCTTTGAGGATTGTCTTCGGAGTTGTCTTCCCATAGTTTTCGTTGGGTAGAGTTTGTTCCAGTTGCAGACTTTTCAATCTCAGTCTAGTTCCTCACTAAGGATCGCGGTCCTTTTTAACCCGCATCGGTTTAGCAATATATGTCAGGGGGCCTGGCCTCCTCCTGCTTTTTATTTTCTTTTACTATTGTTATTATTAACAAAAACGGTAAAATTCTTCATTTATAAGCGTTTGGATCCCAAGGAGACATGACGTGCTTCACCAGACTCCGACATAACAATTTTCAACCGAATTTTCTTCGACTTTTTCTCTCTTATTGTAAATAATATGAAACTATATTCGAATCTCTTTAGTCGTGTTATTAAACGAATATATTTTACACATAAGTACAATTAATATATAGTTACTAATAATATTTAAAGAAAAGTTCATCATAAGTGTTTTTATTGTATGGCTTATAAAATAAAAATTGTATATAATTTACAAATAAATAAATAACAAAAGAACGTTAAAAAATAACCGAGAATTCACTGTCACCACAATCACCATCACCATCATTATCACCACTACCACCACTACTGCATTCCTCTTTGTTTCTCTTTCTTCTTCCTTCCTATCTATCTATCTAATACTAAAAGTCTGTGAATCGTGTGTACGCCAGGCGCATGATTTAAGTTTCTTTCCACCTATCTTTCAACCTCTTCCTCTTTCAACTTCTCTTTCTACATCTTCCCTCTTTTCATCTTCCTCTTTCCACCTCTCTTTCTACATCCTCCTTTTCCAACCTCTCTTTCCAACCAACTCTTCCTCTTTCCACCTCTCTTTCAACCTCCTCCTTCTTTCCTCCTCTTTCAACATTTTCCTCTTTCCACCTCTCTCTTCCACCTTCAATCCTCCTCTCCCACCTTTCCATCAACCTCTCTTTCAACCTCTTCCTTCTACATCCACCTCTCTTTTTCTCTTCCTCTTTCCACATCTCTTTTACATCTACCTTTCCAACTCTCTTTCTACATCTTCCCTATTTCCACCTCTTTCCATCCTCTCTTTCCACCTCTTCCATCTTCTTTCCACCTCTCTTTCTACATCCTCCTTTCCACCTCTATCAAACCACTTCCTCTTTCCACCTCTCTTTCTACCACATCCTCCTCCTCCTTTTCCACCTCTCTTTCAACCACTTCCTCTTTCCACCTCTCTTTCTACATCTTCCTCTTTCCACTTCTCTTTCTACATCCTCCTCTTTCCACATCTCTTTCTACATCTTCCTCTTTCCACATCTCTTTTTACATCTACCTCTTTCCAACTCTCTTTCTACATCTTCCTATTTCCACCTCTCTTTCTACATCCTCCTCTTTCCACTTCTCTTTCTACATCTACTCTTTCCAACTCTTTCCACATCTTCCTATTTCTCTTTCTACATCCTTCCACTCTTTTCCATCTTCCTCTTTTCCACCTACATCTTCCTCTTTCCAACTCACCTACATCTTCCTCTTTCCCACTTTCAACCACTTCCTCTTTCCACCTCTCTTTCAACCACATCCTCTTTCCACCTCTTTCTACATCCTCCTCTTTCCACCTCTCTTTCAACCACTTCCTCTTTCCACCTCTCTTTCAACCTCTTCCTCTTTCCACCTCTCTTTCTACATCTTCCTCTTTCCACTTCTCTTTCTATATCTTCCTCTTTCCACCTCTCTTTCAACCACTTCCTCTTTCCACCTCTCTTTCAACCACTTCCTCTTTCCACCTCTCTTTCAACCTCTTCCTCTTTCCACCTCTCTTTCTACATCTTCCTCTTTCCACCTCTCTTTCTACATCTTCCTCTTTCCACCTCTCTTTCTACATCTTCCTCTTTCCACCTCTCTTTCTACATCTTCCTCTTTCCACCTCTCTTTCTACATCTTCCTCTTTCTACATCTTCCTCTTACCACCTCTCTTTCTACATCTTCTATTGATTTCTTATTTATATTTTAGCTTTCTTTACATGAACAATATTTTAAATATTAAAATATATATATCTATATCTATATATATATATTGCTATATATTTTTGGAAAACATAATGAAGTGAATATGATTTTAAAATATTTTTGGTATATTAAAAATATTTTTAAATCTGATTAAAAAACATTGTAAGTGAATAATTATGTTCACTGACATGAAACTATATTCAAATCTCCTTAATACTGTTACTACACGAATATATTTTTTCACACAATATATATATATATATATATATATATATATATATATAGTTACTAATATTTAAAGAAAAGTTTATTATAAGAGTTTGTATTTTATAGCTTATAAAGTAAATATTGTATATAAATAACTAATAAATATATGAATTAATACATAGCAAAAGAATATCATCATCATTATTATTATTTTTATTATTATTATTATTATTAAATATAGGACAAAAACTCTTCAGAAAGAGAAAGTAACTCTGGCAAGAAGTCAGCTCGTAAATTAATTTTGAAAAAGACACGCAATCCTCAATTACTGTGTTTGTGTGTGTTTGTGTTTCTATGTGCTTGTCTGCGCTTGCCTAAGTGTAGATCCTTTGTAAATCTGTAGTCTAAAAATGAAAATTCATTTTTTTGGCGCAATAAAAATTCATTTTTCAAAATTATCTTTTTTTTTTTTAATGCAACTAATCTATCATTTCTCCATTAATCACATGGACTGAACATTATAGTGAAAATTTAAGATCAAACTTCAACTTATATTTGTTTCAGGCAACACTCGTAATTGATTTTTTTAAGCCGGTTAAAATCCTTGTCCATTTATATTTGTGTGTAAGAATCGGTCTGATGATTTGGGATCGAATCTTTGATTCTAACGAAATAAATATCACGATGATATTTTAATTATTCGTTTTCATTATCATAATAATTATTATTTGCTCTCTTTTCGACATTGAGCTCTCTGGATTTATATCCCTTTTTGAAATTTCCATACGGAATACTAGATATTATATCTATCTATCTATCTATCTTTTTTTTTAAGCGTTTCATCCCAAGCAAGACGAGAAGCCACTAGGACGCAAGGGGTAACAGAAAATCTGGAGCAATATCAGATAGGAGTGATAGAGGAAAGGATGCGGAGAAGGATACTGGATAGATCAACGCAACTGGAGATGTCGATAGACATTACATTTGAATAGCTGGAGATTATAGCTCTCAGGGAAACTGGAATAGGGAAGGGAGTTCCACAGGCGAGAGGTGCGAAACATGAAGCTATTGGAGTAGAAGAGACGGCTACATTTAGGAGTTTCGACAGTGAAAGGGTGAGAGCGGGATGCCAGTCTCGTAGGGCGCTTGAATTCATGAAGTCTGTGAACCAGCGAATGCAGCTCCTCTGAGCAATTACCATGAAAGTATTTGTAAAACAGACAGAGAGAGGCGACGGTGCGTCTGTGAGAAAGTGACTGTAGACGAGATGCCAGAGCAGGGACAATTATATTGCATATCCGCCTCTGGAGCCTATCAAGAACTCCGAGGCAAACAGAAGGGCTCCAGACCATATATGGCAGCAATACTCCATGCAAGGGCGAATTGTTGATTTGTAGATCTGCAGGGTAGATTCCGTCGAGAGAAAAAATTCCTGGCGCGGCATAGGGAGCCAACTTTCCTAGCAGTGGACAAATCTATCTATCTATCTATATATATATATATATATATATATATATATATATATATATATATATATATATATATATATGTGTGTGTTTGTGTGTAGATGACTGCGCGCATTTTAAGAAGATTTAAAAGGCGTACAATTACGATATATTTATTCCTCTGCTCAGGGTACTGAACTCTGTATTTAACAAAAAAATAAAAATACTTTCATGAATGTTTTGCCAATTGCCAATAATTTATATATATTGTTAATAATTTTTATATATATATATATATATTGTTAATAATTTTATATATGTATATATGTGACACTATTTAGCGGTCGAGTGAAAATTAAAAGCGAGAAATAATAAAGGCGAGAAGAAGCTATCACGAAAGACATACTGAGCGATTTCATTTTCATTTGCGAAGAAAAAGGTTTTTTTTTCTTGCAGAAGATAGGAAATTCGTAAGATCCCGGATCTGTCGGAATTAATTTATGCTATGACGCGGCGAATAAAAGATAACAATCTGCCCATGGCAATAATGAAAATTTCAAATTGGTCAAGTGGCCTACAAAACAGAATGCGGGAAGATAATTGCGACCACCCCCAAAGAAAAAGGAAGGGAAAAGAGGAGAAGGGAAAAGAATAAACCATTTCAGAGATATCATTTAGTTTTGGAGAGACACCTGTTTTATGTCCAGACCTAGACATGATAAAAGTTTGTTGCCGGGACAGATCGCTGGCGACAGGGTGCGAAGACATCCAGTTGACCACCCATTTGACGCTTGGCGAAAATCTCCAGATGACATTCGGTTAAGATAGAGATTAAGGACTACACTACGAGTCGTAGGGGTCTGGTGGAGGAAAAGAAAGAAAAGAAAAAGGAAGATAATTTTTTTCTTTGAGCAATAACTGTAAGCTGAGGCCAGACTGATCGCGCCCACGCTGACGAGCGTTCATTAACTGAGTGGTGGCGTGAGCGGTGGGCGAAGGTAAACATATGAGAAGGAGGGGAGGCCCGTTGACGCCTCTGAGGGGATTGGTGTGAGATACCACTATGAGAAAAATGGGAAACCTGTTGACGCCCCCTAAGGGGGATTGGTGCGAGATACCAATATAAGAAAGGAAGAATTTGAGAGGACGATTCCCTTAAGAACCCCTCTAAAGCAGAAAGTAATGGACTTCCAAAAATGGAAAGTGATAAATTTTCCTGTCCGAAAACATAGAAAATCCTTATTGTGGATTTAGAATTATCGAGGAACCCAAACCATGACAGGCCCACACCCGGTTTTGGTCGGCGTCCATATAAACGGAGTAGACAGCGGTAGTTGGGCAGAGTTCGGCAGAGTTCCGTGGAGACGCAGACGCAGACAGAGTTGAGGTGTGAGCTCTGAGACCAGCCTCGCATTAAGCTGACTGAAGTTCCACGCAATCCGACTTACACTTCTAACCAAAAACCATTTTATTTTTGAAGAACGAATTTAGACTCATACCACCAAAACAAATTTTACGAATATCGCCTGAAAACACCAAATTCCAGTTATTGAGAAACAACTTAAGATATTAAGACTCGCCTAACAAACGCAAAGTGTCACGTATCCATAGAAGCGGGTTGGAAGAAAGACCCAGTCCTGTATTCAGAAACCAGATATAAAAATATTTGTTATTCTTTTTTTAACACATTTGAACCTTTCGAGTTACTTTATTTTCTTTTAAATATACTTGTGCGATGTCACCTTTGCTCGAATTCGGCTTGCATTACGGCCCGGCGACTGATTGATTTCGTCTACCTAAGATCAAATCACAACGTGGGTAGGTTAGACTAAAAATCAAAGCAGTTACTTCGGTAACCAGACGTTGGAGGCGAGCTGGGAACGACAAAGCTGATACCGAATCTAACCAGATTCCCATCCGAATCAGCCAAGGGTTAGAACGTCACATTTGGCGCCCTGACCAATACCAACTCACATTGGTCGTCACAGGATAGCACGGGGGCAGAGAGGCCGGGGTGACGTCACATTTGGTGCCGTGACAGCAGGATCACGTCATATATATATATTGTTAATAAATTTATATATATATATATATATATATATATATATGGAACTCTAGTACATCAGTGTTACTCGCGCTGACTATAATTTTTTGTAAAAAAAATCAGTAGTTGAATCTAAGCATCTGATTACATTCTAATCTTACTTCTATCGAATAAATCTGTCAGCACAGAGATTACAATCGTATGAAGATCAACATAATTATTTCCATTTGTAGATTTCAAAAAAACTAAAGCCACCTCCCCTCTAGCTTACGGGGTGGCACAAATTATCAAACACACTTTTGGTTTTCTTTACCGATATTCTTATATTAACGTAGAAGACAATTCAATTCAAATGATTTTCATTGGTTCAATTCAATTCAAATGATTTTCATTGGTTGATTTGTTGACTATATTCTTTTATATGCCATTCATCTTTAGAACGTGGGTGATCATGGCTCTCGCCAGCTTCCTATCCTTAGTATTTCTAAGCAATATTTATTCTCTTGTCATCCCACCCTGTCAAAGTTTTGACATTTAATCTCCTTATGTAGTTTCAATCGCTGTTTTCTCAGCCTCTCATAATTTCAAAATGCTCTTGTGTGCGTCAAATTTTCCAAGGTCTCCTTCCTCATTATGTGTCCTTTTCATTCCAATTTACTTAAAAACTTTTTGTTGCTCTCAAGTTCGACATCCACTTGTAGAACCACATTTCTGTTACCTGATATCTCTCTTATCCATAAGGAAATTTTCCAGTATCCACTGCCATATAGGAGTGCTGATATGATATTTCAGCAGACTTTTTATCGATATCTTTCTATTTCTTAATACTTTGCTTAGCTTCTGGGAGGCATTTTTCGTTATCCCTGCCGTTTGATTCCCTTGTTACATTTCCGACATCTGTTAATACACCATCCAGATAGTTAAACTCCTGTATTTATTTGATTTTGATGTCTCAGATTTATAACTCGTATTTTGGGATGTCGTTCTTGCTAATGACCATAGATTCTCTATTGTCATTAGTCCTTTTTTCACGCTCTCTTTTACTGCCTCATCTTAGAATTTCTAGTTTCTTTTCATCACGGTATCATCTGCGTATCTTATATTTTTATATTTTACCCACCAATAATAAATCCTGGTAGAACTCCGATTTCTGTTAGGATTGCCTTGTTGTGTAGATTAAGTAAATCGATTGGACGGACGTGTATTTACCGGACATTCCTTTATTATTTTTACTTTTTACCTGTTCAGTTTATTTTCTGTATACAGGCACTTTGTTTCCATTCGATATT